GTCTTTTGTTTCCATTTTTAAAAGAAAGCTAAACCTTAGCTGGTGAGGAGCCTTTGGCGGGATTATCTTTTAAATCAGTACTGTGATAGAAATGAATAAAGCATGCGTGCACACATGCGTACACACACAGACATGTGCACACACTCACACAGAAGTTATTCAAATGATTGACAAAGGAGTAGCTAGAGAGAGTATAGTAAATCTTTTTAATTTGATGATGCAATTTATGCTGCCATGATGGTTTCTGTGTTTCAGAAATGACTCAGGTCTTTCTGCTGCATACCCCTGAGAGCAGCCACTTCTTAAATGGTCTACCTCATGTAGACAGGTACTTACCTGCTCATAAGCTTTTCAGCTTTTGTATTCTTTGGAAAATGTATGTTCTAGTGAATGACCCTATGTCATGTGGTTTCATTACAATAGGAATATTTCAGATATTCAAGATTCATTACTTAGAGTACACACAGAGGAACAAACTCTAGCCACTGATGGTTTAACTCAGACAAAATTTTCCCCTGATACGTGCAGAGAGGAAAGGGAAGGATTGAAAAGTGAGGTTTCACCTCTCCACAGCGTAAAAGACCAATCTTCAATCTTGCCTATTATGACTGAAATCTGGCATGTGGTTGTGTCTGCAGAGTCAATAGAGCAAGAAGGTTTATATCAATTTACTTATCTGCGAATGGATGCCTCAATTACATTTTCAAGGGCTCCCAGTCTGCCAGGTTAAGGAAGAAGATACAAACAAACAATAAGAATGACAGCAAAAGAACCTACACTTTAAGAAAGGTTGAAATTAGCACAACTCACAAGTACGGGCGCTGGTTAATTCAGGGATCTGTACTGCACAGGTCCTGCAATTGTTATTTGACTCACTGTTGGACGGTGGGCACTTGTCAGTGAAGCTGGTGAAAAGGCAATTAAAGACACTGTGGAAAAAATTTTTTTTCTCCTCTCACAACCTTTTCGCTTTTTAAAAACTTGTCAGGAAGAATGTCTGGCTATGGGTGTTCCAGTTTCATGGGGAAAACATTATTTCATTAAAAAAAAAAAATCTCCCTCTAGCAAGTCTGTAATGGAGAGATTTTGACCAGTACTTTTAAGCACACTTCTAGATCTGACCTTATACTGGGAGAACTAGTACACAGTGGTCACAAACAATATGGAAATTCTTACGAGAAGATACTTGTGCGTATAAATTATAAGTTTTTCCATCACAAAGAGCCACAATCATTGATTTCACAAGTTCCTGTTTGTGTCTATTTATGCTTTCAATTCACTTCACATTCTGAGAGGGGAACTTATGGGGAGAGGCTGAGGAAACTGGGCTTGTTTAGCCTGAAGGCTAAGCCTTCCCATGAAGGCTTCAGGGGGACCTGATGGCAGCCTTGCAATACTAACAAGGAGACTACTGAGAAGATGGAGCCAGGCTCTTCACAGCACTGCATAGTCAGGGGACAAGAAACAACATGCATAGGTTAAAAAAGGAAAGATCTGGACTAGATATAAGGAGAAACTTTTTCACCAGGAGGACTGCCAAGCAGTGAAGCAGGTTGCACAATGACATTATGTGCTCTCCGTCCCTGGAGGCTTTCAAGACCCGGGTTAAGCCCTGAGCAACCTGGTCTGACCTCATAGCTGACCTTGCTTTGAGCGTGAGGTTGGACTAGAGACCTCCTAAAGTCCATTCCAACCTGTATGATCTTACGATCCTGTGAACTTCATAACCATGTTTGTCATTACTCTGGCTGATACCTTCTCTAAAAGAGTATATTCCCTTCCCTTCTTTGTTTCCATTTATCTATTTGCTGGATGTTGTTTTGTTTTAATGTTTTCTTTCCTGTAATTCCTTCTTACATGTTATGAAATGAACAGTATGCAAGTAGCAGTGCAAGTTACTTCACCACTGATGTGTCCCTATGCTGACCTAAGAACATAATGTATTTTGCAACAGAATGTGAAATGTCACTGCATCGCTAGAATAAAAGAGGAACTAATCTTCTTCTTGTGACTTCATTGTACTCTGTGTCAGAGACTACTGTTTCATCCCAAAGATTAATTTCTAGCAGGCACAAGGTAATGCAAACTCCTACTCTTTCTGAAGACATTTGTGAGTCACCATCATCAAAAGAACAAGCCCACCTGCAACACATCAGCATCTGACCTCTTTCAAGAGCATGATAGGGTGGGTAAATAAGAACAAAAACAAGAATGCAATAATCAGAGGGCTGCAAAGAGATGCCAAGTGGCAGCACAGATGAGGTACTGGTGAAGCCGCAATCTCACAGCACCCGAGTGAGGTGAGCAGAGCAGGTCCAGTGATGGTAACCAGGGTCAGCCAACAGTCCCTTGATCACCGGACAAATCTGTAGTAACAAGGCAGGTCTGAGGTCAAGCCAGGAAGTCAAGTCAGCAAGGCAAGGTCAGGAGCAGCAAGGTAGAAGGGCGAGCGTGCCGTCGCTGAAACAGAGCTTAGGCAAGGATGAAGGGCACGTGCCTGAGCTTAAAGGCAGCTCCTGTGCCAAGGAGGGAAGCCCACCGCAGAGAATCCTCGCAGATCTGTCCCAGTGGTCTGGCCCCACGTCGCGTGTCTGCCCTACATCACTGCTGGGCTCCAGCATGAGCAGCCAAACTGCGAGGAACCAGGGGAAGAGACCGCGGAAGCTGTGGGTCTGTAAACTCAGGGCCCTGACCCTGTGCCATGAGCTCCATTTCCATAAAATTTGCCCCTGAGATTTTATAAGCTTTTAATTTTCCACCATTGCTGATGAAGGTCCTAGCTTGGATCAGCTTACCTGGTGGTGTATGGACATTTTTTATAGCATCACTTCCTATATTAACCCCCTGTACTGCTTCTCGATCCACTTCAAGATAAAGGGAAGCAATGACAGCAACAGGCATATAGGCTAGGCTTCACGAATGAGCTCAGGTTAGGTTAGGGATGCTATCACTTTATGACATAGGTACCTAAAACATAGGTGCCTAACCCTTAGGCTGCTTTGAAGTGCCTAGTCTTCCTGTTCAAATTGCAGCTTTCTAGAGAGATGAAACTTTTGAACGTGGAGATACAATGATGTACTGTACTTCAAATCATTTGCATATTTGCCTGATTGTTCTTACACAGCTAAAAGTATATGTTTTTTTCAGCGTCCCTCCAAATTTATTTGTCTCAGCTGGACCAAATTTACCATGTGAAAATGAACACCTACATTCTTTTTAGAACCATGCAGTGTTATAGGAGAGAGGGCTGTTGCAAAAGTAGCATAGTGAAAAGTGTCTTAATCCTGGTTCAGATCCATGCTACACGTTGTTATTGAATATTCCACATAGAGTTCCTGATGGCTCTGCAGGCAAAAAATGAGTATAAATTTGCAGGATTTTTTTTTTTTTAAAGCAAGGAGATTCCTTATAGAAGGTCTATTTAAAAACATGAAGGAATGCATGCATTCAAATTCCAGCTTTCCTGATGGACATTGCCTAAAAGCATTGACCTCAGTGAGTCATTGTACTTCTTATTAAGATAAGAGAATTAAAATGAGAATATGGATAATTAAAAGGGCTGTGGTGGTAGTTAACGTCTACAGGGTAGGAAATGTCAGTGCCAAATAGTATTGTTGTCAGCACAGTAACAGCAGAGGTGGGTTTATATGCCAATAATTCACTAAAGCAGAATTCATCTGTCCAAAGTCCATCTTAAAGGTGCAGCTCAACTTCATAAGGGGTGAGCTTTTCAGTGAGCTGTGGTGACCCAGCTGTCTGCATTTCAGATGTCATTTAATTTGTTTCTCCTAGGACATTATCTATGATCTGCCTCACTGTACTCATCGTGCAGATCATTATTCTTTTCTGATGTAGTTTCCACATTGACTTTGCTTTCTTCCTGTCGGTGGGGTTAGTCCTGAGTCATGTGGTTGAAGACTAGCAGAGACTCTCGCCTATCCATTTTTATTTTGAGTCCTTAACACATCTAACTGCACAGCAGTTGAGAGATATGGCGGGAAGTGTGAATTTGACTTACAAGATTAAAATATTCCACTTCCTGTTTCCACTGCATTACTAATATAATTCTGATTACTCCAGTGATGATCTTCAGCAACTGACACTCTTCATTTTATGTCAGTAAATCAAGCAGTGCTATGCCATAGCTTAACCATGTTCCACTTTTCATATTACTTCCCAGTATAACCAGCGTCATCTCTTGCCTCGCTCTCCATTTTCTAGCAGGGTGAAGCTGCAGCTCATTCATGTGCTCCCTTTCTCCGCACAGCACAAAGAGAGAAAATAGGAGGGAGCGTTAGGGTGCTTGGGACCAGTGCGACCACAAAGGCAAACCAGACACTTGCAGAGAGCAAGGAAGGGGCAAAGGTGTTGCCATGAGCGCGGGCAGGAAGGAAGGAAAGCAAAGCATGGTCGTGCACTTGGCGGGAGCCAGGAGCAGCGACTTCACCCAGAGGCAAGATGCCGCCAGTTGCCAGCGCTTTTCTTCTTCCCTGAGATCACGGCTCATCGCAGCCCCAGCACCCTGCGAGACGGCAGCTCGGCCCAGACCCGCATGGCGCATGGGCTGAGCACCACCCAGGCCCACGAGGACGGCGGGGAAAGGCAGTGAAGGGCCTCACGCCAATCTGAAAGGTTGTTGTTTTGTTGTTTTTCTTTCTTTGTTTTCTTTTATTGCTGCACCACAAAGGCTGTACTTGCTGAGAGGTCGCTAGCCTAAGCTGTCACAGGGAGTTTTTGCCTGCTCAACTATGAATTAATAGTAACAAAGCTATTTCACCTCATATCCTGTAATATCCTAGGAAGATGTCAGCCCCATTCCAGACTGGGGCTTCAAGAAAAAAAAAAAGAACAGCAAGTAATAAAGAAAAAATTGAATCAGCTTAGATATT